TTTGTATTCCTGTAAATGTTTTTGAGTTTTGTTCTAGAGGCAATAAAGTTACTTGGAATAAATTTGATCCTTTTGGGTCTTAAAATTTAGTTGGCAAGACCAAAGCCATGTCTGGCTGGTGCTAATTATCCCTTGCTACTGAGGCAAGACCCTTCTACTGCTCAGTGTCCCAAAATTATAAAGTTTTCTAGGATGGCTGGTGGGGTAAGATAGTAATTCCAAGCCCTATATGCATGCCATAGTCATTTCTACAATTCTTTTGTGTGGTTATTTCCCCAGCCTCAGTAAGTTTCTTTATATGCTTGTCCTGATTAGCATGGGTATGCTGCTGGATACCCAAAGAGAATAATGTTTTTAATTATATAGTAGCATATATTATTAGCATGCCACATAAATATTTTTTTATGTCATGTAAATATTTTTCCCAGTTTTGTTGAGAAATGATTGATATACATCACTGTATAAGTTTGAGGTGTACAATGTGATGGGAGAATGCTCTTAAATCTCTAGAGTTGTTTCTCTGTGTATCCCCTTTTCTCTCTGGTAATCTGCCATTCAAACTCTAGCCACCTTGATCTTCTTGGATTCTTATCTTTGTCTCCTCAACTCAGGGAATCCTCCAGGCTTGGAGTTCTCACCTCCTGAGAGGCGACTGGGAAAGTCTTTCAAAGTAGGAAGTCAGGACAATGTTAAGGCTCACCTACCTTGTTTCTTGATTCTCAGAGATTGCTGCCCTTTTTACCTGATATTCAGTGTCTCAAAAGCCATGTGTTGTGTGTGTGTGTGTGTGTGTGTGTGTGTGTTTTAATAGATTTCTGACGTTTTGGTGATTTCTAAGCAGATAATTAAGTCTGGGCACTTATTCCATCTTGTCAGGCACCAGAAGTCTTGACGCTGGGCTCTTAACTCAGGTTTGCAGCTGCATACAGAGAGCCAGCTTTTGATTCCTACTTTGGCAATGTTATAAGCACTGTGGGGATTCTCATTTCCCTACAACCCCCATAGCTATTTAGTTCCAAGAGGCTAAATAAGTGTGTTCCACTATTTTCTTAGAATTTTCTTCCCAGCTGCTGACACCCATTTTGCAAGTTTGATACTGGTTGTTACCGTGTTTGCAGGCAAAGATAATTATCTCAGGATTACTGCCTCGGTGAGAAAGAATATCATGCACTATTGATTGTGGGATGCATTCTGATTTCACACACATTAAAATGTAAGAGGTTGTTCCTCTTAGAATCCATGAAATGTGGTATTTTGACTCTTGTGGCAATAGGACTTTCTAACTGATTAGATATATGAAGTCAAGGATGACTCTAAAGTTTTTGGCCTGAATAACTGTAAGGATGAAGTTCCTAACAGTCAGGAAAAATCCATCTTGTTTCACCCAACAGTCAGGAAAAATCCATCTTGTTTTACCTGTTTGACAGTCAGGCATGTCCTCCAGTATGTAATTACTGATAACCTCAGGGGGGATAGTGAAGGGCTCAAATGCTTAGCTTCACCTTATTTCATTGGTTATATTCTAAGACTAATAAAGTTAGCATGAAGATAAAAAATATACTACTGAAACCTCCTCAAGATTAGCAGACTACTATTTTATGTACTACTATTTTTATGTGTAGCCAACCACATTAATGAGGACTCTTTTGTTTTAAAAACTTTGAGTTTCTTTTGTAGACTTAGATGGAAGACTCCTTAAAAACATAAACATCAACAGGTCTAAAAATAAGGCAAACTTGGATATCAGAATAGGAAATCCTCAGAAATTATCATTATCACCTTTCTCTGATACAGCAGTGAATGACACGGAGGAGTCCACATATGATGATATTGAAAAATAAATCTAAAACTTTTAATAGAAAGCTATTACCCATCTGTCCCACCAACCAAACCTATAGAATTAATCACTAAAGAGGCGGGTGATAAAGCCTGCTTACACATTCTCAAATGTCTTAAACACCATCCTGTGTTCACTACTATAATAGATGGCAAATAGAAGAATCTCCTAGCCCATCCCTAATTATTGAGAATTTATCCCCAAATGAGACCATTATTAATACATATCCAACTCAGAATGGATTTTTATCAAGTAGCATATGCAATTAGTTTTTCCCTATCTTTTTTTCGTCAAATTAAGTTCACCATTTCTAAAATTATATTTTGAGATGTATCATCTGGTATTAACAGATGATATATATTTTTTAAAATTCTCTGGGTTAACACTTTGGGGGGATACACTGGATAAAATCAAATGAAATGAGGTTCTTTGGTTCAGGGCTTCTAAGAAACCAGTGTGCCTTGTGAGTTTTCATGTGATATTTTAACACAGATTTTATCTTAGGTCTCTTTTTCCTGGACCATTTTGTGGGGCTGCTGCTTTGCTTGTCTTTATTGTCACTGAATCTCTGGTACCTAGGATGGGGCCTCACACTAGGAGACACTCAAAAAATATTTGTGGAATGAATCTGCTGACTGCCAGTTGTCCATCAGCCCTTTACAGAACCATAGAACAGACCAAGACTCTTCATACCTCTTGTGCCATGTGCTGCTGACTCTTCAAGTTTGTACCAGCTTGAGTTGCTCCCTATTTCTCTTTGACCAGAGCAGGTGCAGAGGAGCATCAGGAGGCATTCCATTTTTACCTAATCTACTGTCTCCATCGTAGCTTCTTCCCCTAACACCTTTCTGGATTTCTCCCCATCTTCCTTGGTGAGCATTCAAAGGTTAATGCATCAGCCAGAAGCTAGGGTTAATGCCCCAGCATGTGGAATGTGAGTAGCTTCTCAACAGAACAAGAGAGAGGCCGCCTGAGTAGTGTGTGGGTCAGAAGTCTGCTGCTGAGCATTGCAGAGCCAAACAGAAAGCTTCCCCTTTACTTGCACTTTATTTGACCTGTGGATAAACAAAGACTTTCTATTTCCAGAAATCCCATTGTCTTAACTGCTTTGAGTTTCTTTTGTAAACTTAAAAATCCATGTCTTTATGCAAGACATTTAAAACTCAATGGGCCCAGTCTGAACATTTTTTTGTTCCTTTTTCTATATTCCCCCTTACATGCTTTGTGTTTGTATTCCACAAACTCTTGGCTATCTGAAATTCAGCCTTTTCTTTAACAATGTATGACATTAAAAATGGCTAGAAGGTTGTAGTGTGAGTAGAATATTCAACATTGTAAAGAACCTGATAAATGTAACTTCTTTAGGGAAAGAATTGAGAGCATATGATTCTTCTTTCTCATTCAACTGGCTGTGTGCTGGGGCCTTTGAGGGTTTAAAATTATAGTAAAAATAAACAGTCTCTCAGTTCCTGTCCTTAAGGAGATTTGCAAGAGAGGGAGGAAAGTGATATTTACAAAAAGCCTCCTGTGTTCCAGGCTATACATCTATATATATTGACACCAATATCTGTATCTTTTTACTGCAATATTATGAGGTAAGTGTGGTTTTTCCCTGGCTTACAAATGAGGAAACTAAGGATCAGAGAGGTTAGGGAACTTCTGAGATTCATTTATTGAAATCAGATTCTCCTAAAGACAAGATGGTGTTAAGTTTCAGAACACCAGGTATCTTTTAGGATTACTCTTACTGAAACTAAATTTTTCCAATGAGAGTATGATAATATATAATATCCTAAAAATACGTGTGAAACAGAGAATCCCACAGAGCTGCTGACTATACTGGTGAATTTTAAAAATACCTGCTTTTTCCCTTGTCTTCTGAAATGCCCTCTTCTTTTTTGACCGTATGCTACTCATTATACTTCTCAGAGCCTACATTTTGTCATCATCAAATGGGGATAGTAGCATCCTCTTTGCCTATGTCACAAGTTTTGGGTGAAGAAGTAAATGGTATAATTTATTTTTTTTTAGCTTAAAGATTTATATTTTATGTCTGTAGTATTTAAACTCCAAAAGGCAAAGATAAATCAGTGAAATGTCAGAACAATGAATCTGAACTTTTAGACTATTTCTTTGTACTGATGTGCTCAAACTACTACATACACATTTGTTGCAAGCTACCTCCTGTATCAATCACTAAGGTAGAACTCTGTCCAAAGAAATCCCAGGGACTTAGAATAGAATGAATTCTGATTGAGTTCTCTTTATTTTTCTTCATCCCCATTATTTTTCTATTTTATTTTTAAATTTAAATTCAATTGAATTTAAATGGTACAATTTAGAAAGTGAAACTTCAGTGGCATGTAAATGAGAGTTATTGCTGTCACAGATGTCACAAGGGAGAATGCCTGTGATATGTTTGCAATGCATAGAAAATATCCTTAATTAAAAAAAAAGTAGGTTTGAGGACTGCTTCCAATGAATTAAGGTTCAGTTTGCAAGGAGGATAAAAGTAATACATTTCTAAATTATCCGTGATTCACCCCCAAAATAATTTTTTTTTAATTTTCAAGCAAAGAGAGTATGGGGTAAGGGGAAGGTTCCTAACCATTCTGGAGGCACTTGCTATATATAGTATTAGATGTAGATAGAGCAAAGGATATTAAAGAACTGGGAGGCGTGATATCTGCCCTTGAGAGATTTAACAAATGCAAACAAACATATTTTCTCCTATTCTTATTTGTTCTTCTAATCCAAGATAGTTGCTTTGCTAGAAAGAAATTTAGATTTTGATATAATATAGTCATCCTTTGAGCATTAGAGTTTATTTTCATTTTGTAACCTGGAGAAATTTGGCAAGGTGAAACCAGGTTTTAAAATCAGAAATGGAAACTTGAAATTTCATTTCTCAATATATCAAAATTTATATACATTTTTAAGAGGCCAGATCCCCCAGAAGTTAACTAGTGACCACCTTCACTGGCATGCTTTATTCTGAGGAAAATGGACATTTTGATTCCCAAATATCAGCGTTCCTATTTCAAATGCTTAAGAGAAGATTGTTATTTGAGGGAGTCTAGAAGTCAGTGCCTTTACATAGGAGCCAATCAATAATTTTGTATCAAATTATGTGATTTTAAGATACCGCCTTGTTTCTTTCTAGTGGATGATACTGTGGTTGCTATACCCTATGGAAGTAGACATATTCGCCTTGTCTTAAAAGGACCTGATCACTTGTGTGAGTAAACTCAGTTGTTTTCCTTTGGGTATTGGGAATTTTAGTCATTATTATTTTTTGTTCCCAGAAGAGATTCAAATACAGAAGTGCAAATCTTTTTACTGTGTCATAGCATGATATTTTGAGTGCTTCTGTTTATCTTTTGGCTGCCTGATGAGATAGCAAAAACCTCAGGGTAATTATCTCTAACCACACTCATCCTGAAAAATACAAAATAGATGCTCCCAATAGGTTTTTCATGAGTTAAGCATATGTTTATGCTTTTGTGTCTATTATTTCTCATTCTCTCTCTTCTTCCTCTCCAATCAATCTGTCTTTTTCTTGCTTTGCATCTCTTTTTTTCTTTCTTCCTTCCAGCCTTCCCTCCCTGTCCTTCATTTTTTCTTTCTTCCTATTCTTTTATTGCATTATTTTATCAATTCAGTGGAGCACAGAAGCACCAAACAACCTTAACCATGGATTTAAAGAAAACCATGGCGGTATAATTAAACATCCCATGTATTAAAGACAATACAAAGCCCTTATATGTTGAAAATTAGGTTAAGGATTAAAACCCTAATATCTCAGGGTTAAGTATTGAAACCCCAAAGATCAAATGGGAGCATGGCCCCACTAGAATTTAGAAAGAATTGATATCTTCAGTCATGCCAAGGCAGTAGTACACAGCCACATCTTTCCTTTTTTATTTTTAGCATTTAGTATTGTTTAGATGTAGACCTGTAAATTACCAGCAGAAAATTATAGGCTGTAAACCAGGGAAAGGGTATAAGAGGATACATTGTACTTTCTACAAAATTCAGTTCCACTGAAAGAGTTCATTTCAGCTGATCCCTTGAGCATTTCGAATATCCTCCACTGTGACTGTTCCTGGATTCCTAAAGAACCATCTATCATCTTCTGTTCTTTCTCTCCTCCCACACACATGCCTATGAAACCAATTTAGGTAGCAAGCATTATCTTTTGGCAATTGGATTATAAATGAAATAGTTCCAGAAAGACAAACAAGAGGAAGATAAATTGGAGCCTGTGAAAGTTCAGATAGCCTGCTATAGTCTTTCTAAAAATAAAAATAAATACGTTTCATGGGAGAGGCGGGATTTGAGGGGTCATGTGAAAGAAAGGAATAAGTAAGGTACAGTTCAGGCAGAGCCAGAAGATGCTGGTAAGTCACCTTATATGGATCCAAGTTCTTTTCTAACCCTAAACAACCCCCCAAAATATAATGTTCACATGTCAAGGGATGATGTATGTGTGTACACTATCACTACTCAAATGATTTGCTTTTCCCCTGGAGGATTGGACAGAGGTAACTGCTCATATAACAACCCTACTCAAAAACAGTATTTTTCTGAGCAGTGACAGGCCCGCTCAGAATAAAACATCCAGGCAGAGATCATTACCAAGTGGGGGACTGACTCCTCATTGCAGAAGAAGGAACCCAAAGGAATAGATTGAAGAAGAATTAATTTTTATAAATGTCTGAGTCTCCTAGTTTTCCTAATTATGTGATCACTAAGAGGCTAAAGAATGAGCCTCATTTTGGTTTAATTGTCCCAAGAATTCAATGGATGAAGTGGCAGATGATATTTATCGATGATGGAAAGCAAAATGGAATTTGCTTTTTTTTTTTTTTTCACAACAGACATACTGTTGACAACATATATGTAGCTTAGGAACTTTTGGTTTTGTTTGTGTATCTGGAATACAATGTAATATATAATATGAAATTAATATGTGAATAAAATGACATCCTGTTTCTCTTGCCATCCTTTCCACTTAACTCCCAGAAGCTGGTCTGATATGGGACTAACCTGAAATGTTTAGGGCCAAACCAGAACAAGACCAGTCTGGTCCAGCTGTAGCTTATCTTCAATCAGAAGCTATGAGGCTTGGTGACAAAATTGAATCAGATGCTCAGATCAGACTTAGACCCTCAGGATTTTTCCAAAATCAAGTTGGTTTATGTGTTGGGGATACTACAAACTAGTACACATACACAGAAGGCAGCTTGAGGAATGAAGGCTAGAAGAAGAAGAGCCCATGCTGTTGACTTTCCCCTGATGACAACTGCTGTGGTTTCCTTCCAGTTCTCCCTTATGAGCCTCATGTCCTTCTGTGAGGAGCTCTGGACTCAGGGCCAGGGGGATGGAGCCTGACCCATTCCAGAAAAAAAGTCTACACAGACTTCATCTGAGGGTCGTGACCATTTCATTGGACACTAATATGCTTCACCTGTTGGTATTCCAACCTGGAGTAGACAACACTTAGAATAACTTAGTATGGGTGCTTGAGTACCTCCAGAGGTCCTAAAATTGTCCCAGAACCCCAATTTGTAAAATGTGGTAAAGGAGAGGGATTCAGATTGAATGTGGGATAGGAGACCCAGAGCCTCACCTGGCACTCTGTCCTTCTGCTAAAGAACCACTGCAAAACTAAGGGTGCTTATGCAAGTTTTAGAAGCCATTAGACCTAGTCTATCTCTCTTCCAACTGTGGGTAGTTATTCTAAATGGTTTCTTAATCACATGAGAATTTTATCTGCTCTGAGATACACGGCATAATTACCATCACCTCCAGCTTGCTATGATTTCCTATAACAAAAGATGTTTCATCGCCTTTGTCATTGGCCAAATTGAGATCAGAATGCTCCAGGAATCAAGAAGTTCTTCTTTCTCTCTTAAGCACTTACAAAATATCATATATGTTCATAACACTGTATTAGGTACCCTGCAAGATTTTAAAAGAGAGCTAAAAGAAGTGACTTCCTTGTCCTCGTTACTATCATTTCTTCATTGAGAGCCACAGACACACAGTAAGAAGCCAGATAGTACAAATAAACACAAGGTAATGCATGAATATAAGGTCACACAGGTGCTGAGGGAAAATCGGAGAAGCACCCTGGATCTGACAGATCAAAAAGAAAACTAGAGAGTATTCTATTCTAGATGGAGAGCCATAGAGGCTGAAATCAATAAGATAGATATGGGAGATAGTTTAGTTAAAGGAATAGGATTATGGGAAAGTGGGATACCCAAATGAGGCCATCAGGGAGTCAAAGATTTTTTGACCAGGAGCCTTGAATGCTTGGCTAATGAGTTTTAAAATAATTTCATGGGCAACATAAACTCCTTTGTGATCCAGAGGTGCCCATAAATTTTGTTTATATCACAATTTCAACTGTGTCAACAGTATAAAGGACGATACTTCTCCCTTACAGAGCTGTAGACTGTTTTATGAAATGTGCTTGTATGTGGGCTTTGGTAGCCCTGGGAACATCTTTCTCTCCTTTACATGTATTTGGTTGTGTAGATCTGGAAACCAAAACTCTGCAGGGAGCTAAAGGTGAAAACACTCTCAGCTCGACAGGAACCTTTCTTGTGGACAATTCTAGTGTGGACTTCCAGAAATTTCCAGACAAAGAGATACTGAGAATGACTGGACCCCTCACAGCAGATTTCATTGTCAAGGTAAGTGCCTTTGGGTACCTTGTTTTCAAGCCATATCCAAACTGTCACTTATGATCTCCTGGAGAGAGAGAGAGAGAGAGAGAGAGAGAGAGACTGAGACTTAGGGCTTGGGCATAGATTTGGAAATGTTTAATTCAAGGATGTTGAGGTACATCCTGGACTTTTCAAGAACATATGATATTTTTAAGTCCTAAGAAAATCGTTATGTGTGTGTATATATCATTTAATAAAAAGACTCAAAGACTAACACATCATTAGTTGGAGGATATAAATTGTTTTTAAAACAAGTTAAGATATAGTCATTGACCCATATAAGGTGTTCTCAGTCAAAAAGAAAAACAAACGAATGATCCATACCCTCGGTTATACTTCTAATTGCAAGTTCTGTTTTCTCTTGTCCTGGCAACAAGACTAAGTTGTTTCCTATCAGAGCTTCCCTGCTCTTCAAGGTAATATAAAACACACTGCTGGAAGCAACATATACATTCTGTAGGAGAAATGTACACACTAGAAGAATGTTTGGGAATCACAATCAAATAAAACATATTTTTTTCCTTCAGTAGGTCAGAAGGACCTGAAGGATTTCAGCTGTAAAGCTGTAAAACTTGTAATGTGTCCAGGACTCCATAAATTTTTCATCATGGGACCTGGAGCCAGAGGACATTTGATTTAAGCTAAGACTCAATGACCCCATGGCAGCTGGAAGTAAGAATGCGTATAGGAAAATGGGATCGACAGTGAGGTTGGATGGAAGAAGGGTTCCAGAACACTGTTCTCTGTCTCCATCTGCATGGTAGTTCTTTTTAATCCAGTCCAGATGCCAGCCACATTCATATGAACAAGGAGCTACAAACCAGCAGAGAGAGCTCACAATAGAAATGATGCTATAGGTGGTTAAATCATTTCATTTAAATATGCAAACCAGTACAATACTGAGAGATGTCTTTATTTTTTTAAACCCTTCAAGGGCTACTGAATAAACCATTTGTATTCATTTCCCTAGAGTTGCAAAGAGTTCCCTAGAGTTGCAACTCTTATACATACTGAATATATAGATTAGAATTCAAGTAATATTATTCACATGTCAGGAGTTGACAGCATTGCCGATGCATTTCATACATCTAGCTGCCTTCTGCACATCACCACTTGGATATTCCATACGCACAACCAGCACAATGTGTCCCAAACTGGACTTGTCTAGCCTCAGACACCTACAAAATCTTCTTCATTTCCTATCTTGTGGAATAATATGCTATTGACCTGGCCACATCAGAAAGCTTTGATTCACACCGATTTCCTGTACTCCTATTCACCCCTAGATAGTTGTTAAACTTTGTCAGTTCTACCTTCATGCCATCTCAGGGCCATTCTTTATTGTCCCTTCTTGCCTCCACTATCTTAAATTAGGCCTTTGTATTTTTTTCCTGATCATGTGATGTGCATCCTTCCAAGGCTGCAGCCCAATGAAAGAAAATGACTTTCTGAGCCACAAGAGGATCTTTTTTCGGTCATGGTCCAGCCTCCACTAGAACTGCCAGCTTAGCTCTACTTGTGAAAGCAGCTAAGGTATAGCTATAGCTATTCAGTTTGTGCCCATTCTAGAACTCTAGAGCATCTAGAATATCATAGAGAAAAGTGACTAATGAGTACCTACGCACCAAAGTAGTAGAACGGTTGTGATTTCCATTTGCATCAACTAGAGTATTAGGCACGGATAATGTGTTCATATGTTGTTCTGAACAGGCTGGAGCATCATTCTGTGCATCATTCAGCAGCCAAGGAACGTAGGACACCTCCTGACTACCAATCCCATGCCGGCTTGTCTGAGGCAAAAGTTTCTACAACATCAGTGAGAGAAAAGAACAGCTAAGACTCACAAATTATCCTTTTCCCAATCGAGAAGAAAAGGATTGGCATTTCGTAGTGCATCAACTGGGAGATCACTTTGTGTACTTGATATCTTTCATGCAATTGAAATGCCTCCTTGATTCCTGTGATTTTGCATGGACCTAATGTTCATCCATTACCCACACACACATTTGCCCTGCCCCGTGGCTCTATCATGACAGTGCAATCAGTTGCTATGGAAAGTGACCAGTTTTTGTCTTCTCTTTTCTTTTCAGTGTGAGAAGTCCTTATATTAAATTAGAAACACTGAATTGTTGTAATTATAGGAAGAAAAGCCTGTTTCAGAACATTCTTTTTCCTTATTAACTTAAGGAAGCCAAAATTACATATGCCAGATGTGTTTAGCTCCCTAAAACTAAATTCGAGTGTGTCAAACTGAAGCATTCAACATACTCTTGAGAACAAGAACCTGATGTCTGAGGATTTAGGGTGTATAAAGCTCCAGCGCTAATGATAACAAAGGTCCCAGGCACCCAGAATTAATAAATCCAGAAACAAGGAACATGGCAGCTCATCTCTGTAAGCAACAAAGGCCATCAAAGTTGAACATCAGGTTGGCTCCTGTATTTTAAACAGTTTTCCTACTTTAAAATGAAAAATTAAGAAGATACAGAGAAGAGCAGTAAAAGGCCTCTACTAAAGATAAATACCTATGTCTTCGCAACACTAATACTAACAGAATTACTTGGAATCATGAAAAGAATGGCAGCTTTCAAGCCACTGTAGACCTGAATTCAAATCCCAGCTCTGCTATTCCTTTGCTGTGCAGCCCTGAGCAAGTCACTTAATCTCTCTGAGACTTCTATCTCTGGTTGTAATGTAAATGTGGGAGATAATACAGAGTAATTCTAAGATTAGATTTCTTAGAAATAAAATGTACCCTGCAAACAGTAGAAATGTAGTAAGTGCTGGTTGCTGTGGTGGTTGTTGGCTGCTATTAAAAGAAGGTGCCTATAGGGAAGAGAGACCCAGGAATATTATCAGTGTAGAAAGAATCAAATGAGATTATGTGGTCAGAAGTTTGGATACATCATGACTGTTTTTATCTATTTGAAATAACAATATCACTGTTCATTTCTAATCTCTTTTCAAATTTAGGCATACAATCTCAGCATTCATGGTCATTGTACATCAATTTCATTGGACTCTTTAGGAGCATTATTCTTTCTAAGCTCCTTGTTTTTTTTTTCTCTTCAACATAGTATTTACGAACACTTCCTCTTAACACCAAAACTTCTTGACATGCATTCCTTACTCTCAGAGCATAAGGTACTTTTACCATTAACTTCTAGCAAGCTGAAAATTTGAACTGTTCCATCTTTTTCCTTCTTTAACAGATCAAAAACTAAGCCCAGACACTGTACAGATATTCTAGAACAAAGTTTCTCCAAGGATTTTGATGTTATATCCTCCTCATTTTTTGTTTTTTCCTCCACTTTCCTAGGACTTAGTCTGATTTCAAGGTCCCCAAAAGGGACCTGTGCAAAGGAATCTATCTCTCTAAGCCTAAATAAATCTTCTGGTCTTTTTATTTTTTCATGGAGCTAGTGTTCAAATGAAAGTCTTCTTCTAATACCTTTCCAGCATGGAAACCACACATCCCAAGAGAGCTATAGGCTTTTGTGAGCTAAAAAAAAAAAAAAAAAAAAAACCTTTACAAAGAATGTGATTAATACTACATCCCTGAGCAAGCAATTAGGTATCCTGTATCTGACACATAGGATTGAAAAATATTAATCTGTAGGCTATGCTCCCCTTTTGTGAAAGACACTGTATTGCTTCAGCTGTTTTTGCTTTAAAGTAGGGGATTGTATCACCGTTTATTCTAATTAGGAAAGATCTTGATGTTCCATGGATCAGAATCCCAGCATAATACAAGATATTCTATAGTTCTCTCTCCTTCTTCTTTCTCCTTTTCCAGCTCTTGCAGATTATCTGAGGCACATTTCCAGTGTTTTCATCCAAAGTCCAAAACTGGCCTGGGGTTTAACACGTACTCCCTGTGTTCCAGTGCTCCTAGATGTTTAATCCAGTTGTTACACTCAGTAGCAGAAAAAATAGGCTGTCTTTAAAAAAAAAAAATCTGAAGGCCAAATCCATCGGTATATCCTAGGTAGAGGGCAGTTGGGACCACAGTTAGGCTTGAAAATGTTAACAAAAACTTGGACCGCATGATGCGCTGATACTCCCCTACTGTCTTGGAGTAAGAGGTAGCCCTCTTGGAGTAAGAGGTAGTTGTTCATGGAACTTCTGTTAGTATAATAAATAGTCCAAGCCTTGTCCAGTTGTCTCAGTACCATATGACATGTCATTCTGTCTTTGTGAAATCAAGGCATTGCTCCTGTTGGGTACTTTCATCTTCTCTTTTAGATTGAGTATGTTTTCACAACCTTGTACTTTTAAGAACTATTAAAGGATTATTGCCTCACTTCCCCTCTCTTAAAACACAAAGGAGTTGTAATTTCCATAAGGACTTGTTGTATTCCAAGTACTTGCTTTTATAGAGTAAGTTGGTATTTTTCAAAGTTTGGTACTTGGACTATCAATGTTTGCATTACTCTTGCATTGCAGGAGCCCAGGAATTTGCATTTTAGCAAGCTTCCAATTGGTAATTCTGCACATTAAAATGTATGAATCACTAAACTGCCAGGAAACACCATGTCTGAGTGGGCAGAGCCATTTAATTCTTTAATTCTTTTTTTCTTAATTGAAGACAGGATCTTTCCTTTTTTGCAGCGTATGCCATTTATAATTTTCTTAGAACCAATTGTCTATTTCTGAACCTACATTTAAAAATCCACATACAGGGGCTCCTCGGTGACTCAGTTGGTGAAGCATCTACCTTCAGCTCAGGTCATGATCCCAGGATCCTGAGATCCAGCTCCCTGCTGAGCAAGAAGCATGCTTCTTCCTCTCCTTCTCCCTGTCCCTCCCCCTGCTTGTGCTCTCTCTCTCTCTCAATAAATAACTAAAATATAATAAATAAATAAATAAATAAATAAATAAATAAATAAATAAATAAATAAGAAAAAATCCATATACATATATATAAAAATTCACATAATTTTTCCTATTATATACCAGAGAAGTTGGAAATAAAAGAGGGAAAAGGAGTAAGTGGCCTGGAAAATGATCCTACTTAGACTCCTAAGTAAAGACACTGAGATCCCTTCTTCTGTGAGAACAGAACTGAAAAGTGATGGTCATGATGGTGTATGGTTGATGGGGAAGATCAATGATATTTGCTATGCCATTTTTCTCCCAGGACAGTTCTTCATGCATCTTCTAAAACCATGTATACCACTGTGCATTCTTTCCAAAGTTGCAGACCAAGAAAGCACCTCCCTGTCATACCAGTTTCTCTCTTTGTTTTTTTGGTTGTTTTTTGTTGTTGTTGTTGTTGTTTTTGAGTTTCTCTCTTTTATCTCCTGCAGATCCACAACTCAGGGCCTGCTGACAGCACAGTCCAGTTCATCTTCTATCAGCCAATCATCCACCGATGGAGGGAGACAGATTTCTTTCCTTGCTCAGCAACCTGTGGAGGAGGTAATGATGTTCACTTACCCTATGGACTGTTGGCTTCTGTGAAGGAAGACTTAGCTTTTATGAAAGTCGTACCTTCAGCATGGAAGAAATTTAGTGCTGTGATGGGTCAGGTTCTTGATTTTCAAAGGGGCCAAATCTTGAAGCCTTCCTATACCTCAGTCTAGAAGCCCCATGAATGTTTTCTGTCTGTCCAGTCTCATTAATGGAAACCGTCTTGACTCTATTCTGTTCCTTTGAGAATAAACTACTCCCACCTGGTTGAAGAGAACTTACCTATTCAGAAGTCAAGTGGAGAGTGTTTGTCAGGCATACTACCTAGCATGATGTGTCCAAAAAGAATCAGAAAATAATTTAATTAAGGGAAATACTTTATTACAAAAAAAAAAGCCCCTCCACTGTAAACTTAGACTCAGTTATTGTGAAGTTCTATCCCATCATCTGAGCAGTAAATGGAAGGCCACGTGACTTCTTTATTCATTAAAACACATCTTTCCTGAAAAGTCACCAAACAAATTCCTATCTCTGCTCCATTACATCTGCAACATGGACAGCAGAACATGGGAAAGATATTTTCCCCCATTTTCTTTAATAATTACAATGGTTACATAATAATTGCTTAATTTATTTAGCCATATCCCTATAGAAGATTTAGTTCATTTAAACTTTTCTATTATAATGTAATGAATAACTTAATACCTAAGTATTTTTCTCCTTTCAAATTATTTCCTTGGAATAAATTCTCAAGAGTGAGTTTCAGAATTTTTGTGGCTATTGGCATATATTACCAAAATTCTTTCCAGAATGTAATAGGCAGTGTATGAATAGTTCATTGCCAACTGAACCAGTATTTGAGGATTATAAGAATTGTTTAATTTTGCTGATTTAATGAGCATAAAATTGTATGTATGTTCCTTTAAAAACTAGCACATTAAATAAATGCTGGCTTCACCTGCATAGAAGCCTGTTAATTGGATGATGTTAAATAACTAATCCACATGGTTATCACTAGATTATTTTGACAAGAGAAAAGGAAGATGGCACCTCAAAATGAGACAAATTATCATCTATTAATTTTTTAAACCATAAGAACATATGAAATAATTCATCTTCATCTGCATAACGTGAACCACTGAAAATGAGATTCTATAGAGTAGTGTTAGATTTTAGCTTAAAAGCAGTTAGTCATAAAAAAAAAAGCAGTTAGTCAAAAATACCTTCAAGTGCTTTTACTTGGTTGTTAAATAACTATTAATTCAACATTCTCAGCATTTCAACAAAATATTGTTTCCATTTGCTGTATCTGTCCTGAAGAGAAAATTACTTTGTTTAAAGATAAAATGCCAATTACTTTGATGTTTCATGAGAATATGTTGCTTTGATACAGCTATTAATGACTAGCATAAGAAATAGTTTCAAAGAAAGAAATCCAAGCAAATAATTACTTTTCTTCTTTTCTTTTAAATGAAAACTGTATTTTGTGAGAAGTAACAATTCAATAATATGCCCTGTATGCTAGTTTTACATAGAGCTGCTTTTGGAGTATAATTTCAGTAATATCGATGATGCTTTGCTATATAGTTAGGCAACTAATGTTAGATTCATGTATATCCAAACCTTCTCAGCCTTATTTTCCTCACATCTGAGTGAAGTGGAAGCATTAGTGGTCTTCAAATGTTTTGAGCAATCAAACCCTTTCTTTAAAGGAAAGCTTACTAGGAAGTCCAGATAAAAGGAGTATTGCTCAGAATAGAGATATGAGCAATGTGGAAACCAGCCTTCCTCCCACTTTGTGGACCACAGTTTGAAAATATTAATGAAAAAATGATCTCTAAGTTCCTCCTTATGTTTCTAGTTCCACATTCAATGGCTTGGCCATTTTGCTAAGTGTGAACAAACAATTGCTACTCCAATTACTTTGTGAAATGTTTGAAAACACAATTATCTGACCATTTTGGTCATTTATATCATTTTTGTTCTAAACCTTCATTTCACACACTCTTGGATAGCTTGACAACAGCCTTTGTAAGCTGACAAATTATGATTTTTAAAAAACATAATCTGTTATATAATTTACTTATCACCTATGCCCACATTAATAAATATTTAGTATTTAGTAGTAAATACTACTACTATAGAATTCTGTCCTTGAGTAGAAATTATTGTATGGAGGGCAGCCCTGGTGGCCCAACCGTTTAGCGCCCAGTAGTTTAGCACCGCCTTCAACCCAGGGCGTGATCTTGGAGACCTGGGGTCGAGTCCCACGTCAGGCCCCCTTCATGGAGCCTGCTTCTCCCTCTGCCTGTGTCTCTGCCTCTCTCTCTCTCTGTGTGTGTCTCTCATGAATAAATAAATAAAATCTAAAAAAAAAAAAGAAATTATTTTATGGAAATTATAAATTACAATTTTGAATTATAAAATGATTAGTTTATCACAACATTATCTGCTTTAGAGTATAGTATAATCAAAAAATAAAAGTATATTTACTTATTTAAAATGTCATTTTTCTCTTTGATTTTCTTATAAAATAAAAAACTTAATGGAACATGTGTTCTTACCTCTTAGTTTCCATGCTTTTCATCTTTACAGTAAAATTGTTAAAAGGTCTTTTTTTAGGTCTTTAATGAACAATTAACTTTTGCGGGTGGTCTGAGAACACAGCCTCAAGCCAGGAAATCTGGTTTATAAGCCTCCTTCTGATTTCCTAAAACCTTTTGCAAGTCTTTTAATTACTCTAACTCTAACTTTCTAACCATATCTAGCAATAGCAATATTCAACCACCTGCCAGGGAGAATGTATTTTGGAAGTTGGTTAGGGTTAGAATGATATAAAAGCCAAAGTTAAAATTTAAAAATTCTCAATGTGCATTTATTTTTCACACTAAGAATCTCTGTCTTCATCACCACCTCACCAAAAATGCACAGGACAGGAAAGGCAGATGGGAAAGATACAACACATTATGAGTGGGACTTGGTACTCAGCGATGCTATTTTTTAAAAGAACTCTCTCAACAGTGGAAATGTGTGCACAGAAACTAAAAAATATCAGCTAGAGACTTAAGGAGCAATGACAAAGGATGTTAGGTGAAATTGAACATTAAAGGAGTGTTGTTGTTGTTGTTGTTCTGGAGGGATCCCTAGTGGCTACTGTTAAGGATCTTCATTCTCCATTTACTCAGGTTGAATTTAGACAAAAATAATGTTCCCAGGCAGCTGGCAGGACCTGATCTTATGCTGCATTCCATTGTCCCCCATTCATCCAGGGGAGCAGTATTAGGGTTTAGTTCATTTTATTGATTGATTTGGGAGTTTATTTGCCCTAGATACAAGGACGCAATTTTATATCCTTGCATGAGATGGTTAGCAAATAAATACTGATCATCTTTTTTGGATACAGAAATCGGAGTTATACTTTTAGGTTATACAAAGCAAATTAATAAGAATAGTACTTACAGCACAGTCTTAGTCACCCAGCTCTGCCATTCTGTGGTTCAAACCTTATAGTATAATTTAATTATTAAAATATGAGTGGAGGGGATCCTTGGGTGGCTCAGCAGTTAAGAGCCTGCCTTCGGCCCAGGGCGTGATCCTGGAGTCCCGGGATCGAGTCCCATGTCGGTCTCCCTGCATGGAGCCTGCTTCTCCCTCTGCCTGTGTCTCTGCCTCTCTCTCTCTCTCTCTCTCTCTCTCTGTGTGTGTGTGTGTCTCTTATGAATAAATAAAGTATTAAAAAAAAACTATGAAAAATAAAATAAAATATGAGTGGAAAAATAATATTTGAGGTCTGTAAAACTTAATGGGCCTTCCATTTATCTGTCTTTTGTCCTAGAAATTACTGAGGTGTTGGGGAAGAATTTCCATTAATGTGGGATGGCCAAAAAGCATAATGAAATATATTGCATTATATTTGACGGTGGTATGTGCATTTTAAACTTGCCTGGATGGTTTGCCACTGCAGGTTACCAACTGACATCGGCTGAGTGTTACGATCTTCGGAGCAACCGTGTGGTTGCTGATCAATACTGTCACTATTACCCAGAGAACATCAAACCCAAACCCAAACTTCAAGAGTGCAACTTGGATCCTTGTCCAGCCAGGTCAGTCAGATTTACCAGTTTATTTATCATAAACATAAATTGAGTTCCAACCAAGCTTCTTAAATTTTTCAATTAAAAATAAGTATTGTTGTCCAGTGTCCATTCCTAATCATCCATTATTGGTACCCATGCTCCTCGCTCTTGAAGCTATATGATGCCCTCTCAAGGTCTACAGATTTTCCCCTTGTGGAGCACCCTTCAGAGTTATTTTCTCTTCTGATTTCTTTTTCTTCTGGTACTTCTAACTCTCCTTAACAAGGTCTGGGCCATGCAATGGCACAGTGTTCTCAGGATCCTTTCCATTTGACTCTGTCCTTGATCAGTGACATGATCAGAGTAGACCATATTTAAGGATCACAACTGACCCATTTTTAGCCAGGAGTGGTCAACAACTACAATTGAAACTTAGAACAGTTCTAATTTTTTAACACACATAGCCTTTGTTAAAGAGAAAGCAGAACTTATTGTCAATGGTCAAATTTTTCTAAAAGATCTTTTTTAATTTGGAACTTTAAAGACACACTTGACACTTTCATTATCGTTGCTTTTTGGAAACCATGATTGACCCTCAGTTAGATTTAAGAATCATACTGACAGGGGCACCTGCATGGCTCAGTGATTGAGCATCTGCCTTTGGCTCAGGTCATGGTCCCAGAGTCCTGGGATCAAGTCCCACATTGGACTCCTCATAGGGAGCCTGCTTCTCCCTCTGCCTGTGTCTCTGCCTCTCTCTGTGTGTCTCTTAGGAATGAATAAATAAAATCTTTTAAAGAAGAGAATTAGACTGACAAATATCTCAGATGATGAGTAGTCATAAAAGTACAGGTCAGCCGTCTCTGTTCATGGTAGGACATTTGCCTTTGTAGTTGCAACACTTCCTGGTAAATCTCTTTACTAGCTTCCTTATCCTCAACATATGAGAGAAGATACAAAAAATTCTTCTTCTATAAACTAATCATGAACAGCAAAAGATTAAAAAAAATCTTTTCCCAATCTCCTTGGATTTCTGAGAAGCCCCTCAATATTATTTTTAAATCATAGTTTAGTAATTATATAAACATAAAATCCAAATTTAAATAGTTGAAATAGTACATGAGCAATGTGCATGAAAATTGCTCTTTTTGAAGTTTTTGTTTTCTGCTGTTAACTTTCTAAAATGTATTTTCTTGTACTCTGTCTCACATTCATGAATTCTAAATTCTACTTGTGATGCAATATTGCCTATTTCATATACTTAGCTCATAAAACTGAACTTAAACAAATTTTCATTAAAGACACAAAGAATCAATATTTTATAATTATATAATTTAGGTGAAGTTTAATTTAGGTTCCTATTACACCAGAAAATTATGTATTTAAAATTGGATATGGAATAAAAACTGAATAAGGTGTTAAAATTTTGCTTGGACTTTTTTAATTTCAAAAATATTAAGAGTGTGAAGCATTTTTAGCCAAGATAATTATAATTAATGTGATTCAACACTATTTTTAAATTACTTATTATATATCTTTACATCCATACCAGAAGACTAGTGTGTGAAAAGCATAGTTATCCTAATTCAGACAGGTCCGCTCAACTGGAGGAAGACTTTGAAAGTCTTTACACGCTTTCATGAATACTTATGTGTGAATTTCTATGAGAAATGAGGGATTCATTCCCACAATTGGGGAATAAGCTTCCATAAAGAGATGGCCATGGAAGACATTTGTGAGACAAAAGCATTTTGTTAACAATTTTAAGAAAATGTTGATAATTTACTCAATTTTTTTTTTCTGGCTTCTGATTTTTATCTATCTTCTCTGTTGGAGTAATATTTGTGGCCTATTTCTTATTATCCAAAAGCAAAAGGCCATGTTATAATGAAAGAGGTTCACCTGTGAAATTTATGCTTTGTCTGCATCCTTGTTATTTTAAAACATCTAATACAGCACATGTATAAATGTTGGTACAGGTGGCTATTAAGGAAAAAAAAAAGAAAATGGAAAAAAAGAGAAAGAAAAAGTAAGAAGCAAATGTCAGGAAGCTGTTTTTTTTTTTTTTATTGCAGAGGTAATTAAACAAAGCTGGAAAATTAAGACTTAGCAGTAGGAGAGATTTAAGAGGAAACTGCTTTAGGAAATGTAGATTTGCTGCTCCAAGGTTAAGATACTTCAGGATCACTGGGAAATTCATTGTACTTATTTGCATATCTGGAATCAAGGCAACTTTTCTAAATTCAGAAAGAAAATAGAAGTGATAGTCTGAGAGAAGAAGGTACTATATAACAAAGGTCTGCCCTCCCATTAGACATAGCAGAGGCAAACCCTTAAGAAATGGCTTTCTGACTACAGATTTAACTGCCTGTAAAATCAGGAGTGACACAATGACATTAAACTGTCACCTTTGTATCCCAAATTAGAAACCGCCTAAAGGGAGAAATGTAGATGTTCTTAGTACCAAGGGTCAGATATTTTTGAATTCCAAAAGAAACTTATTTCATCTAGCCCTTGAGACACTGGTTTACTTTACCTGTATGAGACTAGGATTTGGGGCCTATTATATGTTATTTGAAAGCAAACTCCCTTTCACATGGCTAAGTTTATTGCCTGTCAAGGCTGGGAAGTACCATGGACAGCAAAAAGTGCACTAAATAATTAGTTTGTAGCCTTAGATTTATTATCTTACCTTTCTGGACCTCAGTTTTCTCACCCACAAAATGGGGATGAGAGGGTTGTTTGTTGCATTAAGTTAGTGGTTTTCAGACTTTGCCTACAGAACCTGTTATTCCACAGAGTTGCTTCACTGAATTTCATTTGATATATTTTGAAGTGTTTTTAAACAATAACTCACTAGAAGTTTATATACTGAAACACATTAAACTAATTTTAACTTATTCAGGCTTATAATTTAACTAATTTTAACTTAAATTGGAAGAATTGTTGTAACAGTTGTAAAAATGTTGTATCACCAAAGTAACTACTCTTTGCCCTCATCCTTGAATTCTTCAGCATGTCAACGTAACTGAAAAATAAGCATCCTAAAATTGCAGGGTGAGCTATAGAAACTGCCACCATTACCAACTGTTTCTCTGTGATAATAGGAATTCTCTCATTGCTACACATCTAAAACCAAAACAAATAGAATAACCTGGCTGTGGTGACCATTCTCCATAATCCTTGATATCCAATTTTTTTCTGCCTACCAAAATAGCCTCATTGTGTGCACTAATTTACTTTATAATAGCTAAATGTTTACAGTTGGACTAGTGAATAAATGACATTATTTAGTCATTTCACTCACTGACAAGACCCACTGGTTCACATGGTTGTGATTTGGTTCATTGAATGGTTTTTGAAGCTAGAGAGATTGTTGGCATCTAGCTCATGTTTTCAAAGTAATTTTTATGTTTTCACGGCCTTTTTTCTGATGCTTAAATGCTAACTAAGAAATGTCAATGAGTTAAAAGCCTATAATGAAGACAATAAACCTCACTAATAATCTCCAGTGCCCACAGGTAACCAGTTTAATGCTTTTGCTATATTTCTTTCTAGTCTTGTCTATAGTCTTGTCTATAGTCTACATAGATGAGATCATACTGTGAGCAATGGACACTTGTAATTCAGTGATTTAGCGTTCTTGGTTTCCACTATTCTAAACCAAGCCTGAATATCCATGACATGTAGTAATTTGACATTTTGCTGAGGCAAGAATATGAGTCCCTTGTACTAGTAGACCAACATTTCAGCCTACCTGGCTGCCAGAAGTTCCATCCCAAGAGAGTTTCTGTTGCTCTCTGCTGGTGTCTTTTATGCAGTCATTTTTATGAAGTGGTAAAATACTTTGTTTCCTAGCCAAAAGTGGGCTTGAAAAGGAAGCCAAAACTTAACACTTATAATGGAAGGAAAGAGAAAGTGAAGTTAAAAATTTAATGGCTTTTAGCTAAAATTGAGAATGTTTCTCATTGGTGACCCAGAGCTATGACATCACTAATCCCATCATATGCTCTCTCCAGTGTTCTGATGGCAGTCCCCACTTGGGCAATCCCAGAAGTTTAGAGGCATACCCCTCCTATAAGTCAGGGATCTACTGCATGATTAATTGGTTTTCCACTGTGTTCATTTAACCCTATCATCCCATGTAGCTAAAACATTTAGAATAAAATAAAATGTAAAACCTTCTCTCATGCCTGCCATGCCATAATCATGACTTCCGTCTCACACCACGGAGAAATTTTTTTGATCCCTTTTTCGCTGTTGTTTGTGCAATGCTTTGTATGATCTTTGCCTCTCAGGTGAAGGGTAAAATCCATCATGTGGCAAGAAAGCCTCCAAATGTATGCCTATGGTTCAGCAACAACTAAAAAGGCATAGTTTTAGTTCAGCTAATAAGCACCTAATATTTCCAGAGTAGCTTTAAATGTAAACTATGCTACATTTGGCCTTATATATCTCAGTCTCTGAGACTGGAATGACGGTTAATGCTGTCTGGGGGAAATTGTGCAAGACATTGTTTGTGAGAAGATCAGAGAACCACCTTTGCAGATTTTTTCTGGCATGAATCTCTAGTTTTCCCTCCAAGGCAGTAATGAAGGGGGCTTAAATTGGCAAGGGTTGGAAAAGTGAAAAAAGCTCTCACTCATCACACTATCATGGTCACAATCATTAGCAAACAAATCCTCTTCTAGCCGAAACTGCATCCAGATTCCCCCTTCCCTCAAGGAATTCAGAGCAACAGTCCTGAGCAAATGCCCAAACTTGTATGCCCGGAGCGGCAGGACTTGGTGAGTTCCAGTGGATGATTTTGTCCAGCTCCATTTAATTTGACAGCAAATTGCCTAAGTCATCCCTGGCTGTGATCCAAATTGTGAACAAAATCTCAGATTGAATCTTAATGCAACTTGAAACAAATAACCTGCATCGTGAGAGCCATTATGTGTAGTAGGCATGTAAAAACCTGGTCACACTAACTTAGTGACTAACTAGTTCAATGGCAGTACAGCCTGGTGGTTAGGAGGGGAGCT